AAAAAAAAAAAAAAAAAGGCTTCTATAGATCCCCTAACTAACTTTGGTTACAAAGTCTTTCAAGGACAAGCTTCTAAGTTCTAAGATAAAGCTATTACTTAACAGAAGGGTTAAACAGAGATATAGAGGCTCCATATTTCTTTATCTAGTTATTGTATATAGAGACAGGTCATCAGAAGTCAAGCAGGAACTGTCCCTTGGGCTAATTGTTTTTAGCTGTAGGTGTCTGTCTCTAGGCGGACACTCTTTGATCAGCTCTCATCCTGTGATTCCACGTAGACCTTGCTTTGCTCTTCAAAGCAGGTGAGACCCACAGGGTTGAGACTGCGGCAGTCACCTTGGAAAGCAGCTGCTACTGACCTTTTGAGATGCCCTCCTGAGGTGGAGCAGCTTTTGATATGCAAACTAACACGTTCACATATTCCTTCAGGGCAGAGCCCTGAAAAACTTCTAAGACCATTTCTGTCTCTAATATAGTAATATTAATTTATGAAGCGACAAGGCTGGTCTTGAACTCCTGGCCTCAAGCAATCCTCCCACCTTGGCCTCCCAAAGTGCTAGGATTATAGGCGTGGGCCACCGCACCCGACCTCCAATTCTTAATATTCAGTTATATTCGCTTTCTCTTTTTCTCCCTCTTCTTCCTTCCTTTCTGTATACTCCGAGAAGGAAGGGCTTTTGTTTTCTTTTTTTGTCTTAATGATATGGGCATCATGGCACTTCACCCCTAAATGTTTCAATATGTATAGGCTGGGCACAATGGCTCACACCTGTAATCCTAGCACTCTGGGAGGCTGAAGTGGGAGGATCGCTTGAGCTCAGGAGTTTGAGACCAGCCTGAGCAACAGTGAGACCCCATCTCTACTAAAAATAGAAAAATTACCTAGGCGTTGTGGTGGGCACCTGTAGTCCCAGCTACTCACTTGGGAGGCTGAGGCAAGAGGATAATTTGAGCCCAGGAGTTTGAGGTTGCTGTGAGCTATGATGATGCCACTGCACTCTACCCAGGGTGACAGAGAGAGACTCTGTCTCAAACAAGCAAACAAACAATCCCCCGCTCCAAAACCCATGTATATCCTAAGAATGATCACATTCTGCTATGCAAGAAAAAATGATATTATTATACATAACGTTAACATTAAGTCAGGCTGGGTATGGTAGCTCAGGCCTATAATCCCAGCAGTTTGGGAGGCTGAGGCAGGAGGATCACTTGAGGCGATGAGTGTGAGATCAACCTGGGCAAAACAGCGAGACCTTGTCTCTACAAAAAAATAAAAAAATTAGCTGGGCATGGTGGCACATGCCTGTAATCCTAGCTACTTGGGAGGCTGAGGCAGAAGGATCACTTGAAGTCAGGAGTTTGAGGCTATAATGAGCTATGATTGTGCCACTGCACTTCTAGCCTGGGCAACAGAGCAAGACCCGAAAACATTAATTCCGTGTCATCAAATGCACAGTTAATATTTCCATTTCCCAAAATGTTGCCCCAAATATCTTTTATATTTGGTTTTTAGTTTTGATCTAGAAGTTAATCAAAGTATACGTATTATATTTCGATGTTTACCTCTTTAGTCTCTTTTAATGTAGAGAAGGAATATTTGCCCTTTTTTGTTATTGTTTTCATGAAATTAAACTTTTTGTATTATAGAATCCAGGCCAGTTTTCTTGTCAAATATCCTATATTTCAGTGTTGTTTCCTTTTAGTTTTTTAATTTTTATTTTTTGCTATTTAATTCTTTATCCATTTGATAGTGTTGTTTCCTCATGCTTATATTCAGATTAAAAATTTTTTACAAAAATACCACACGGTGATGTTGTGTACTTATTGTATCATGGCAGAAAGTACATTAGTGTTATGATGTGTTAATAGTAGGCTCATAGGCAAGCTGATTGTTAGCACCTCTTTATAACCCTTGGAATAAAGATGTAGCTTTACATTGGCCGTGATGGGAGTATTACCATGTAAATTGGCAAATGTTACAAATCAGGTCTTCAGTTTTGTTTGTTTTTTTGGAGAGACCTCTCCCTCCCCTCCCCTCCCCCTCTTCCCTCCTTTTCTTTTCTTTTCCTTTTTTTCTTTTTTTTTGAGACAGAGTCTCACTCTGTTGCCCAGGCTAGAGTGCCGTGGCTTCAGCCTAGCTCACAGCAACCTCAAACTCCTGGGCTCAAGTGATCCTACTGCCTCAGCCTCCCCAGTACCTGGGACTACAGGCATGCGCCACCATGCCCGGCTAATTTTTTCTATATATTTTTAGTTGTCCAATTAATTTCTTTCTAATTTTAGTATAGACGGGGTCTCACTCTTGCTCAGGCTGGTTTCGAACTCCTGAGCTCAAACAATCCTCCCACCTCGGCCTCCCAGAGAGCTAGGATTACAGGCGTGAGCCACTGCGCCCGGCCTGATAAAGACTTTTAATCAACTATTTTGTACAAAGAACTAAAGAAATCCATGTTTAAATAACTAAAGGAAAATATAATAATGATGGCCCATCATATATAGAATATCAATGAAGAGATAGAAATTATAAAAAAGAACCAAAATTGGCCTGGCGAGGTGGCTCATATCTGTAATCCTAGCACTCTGGCAGGCTGAGGCAGGAGGATCGTTTGAGGTCAGGACTTCAAGATCAGCCTGAGTAAGAGTGAGACCCCGTCTCTACTAAAAATAGAAAAAAT